ACTTAATATAAAAAAATTATAAAGATTGATTAAAATTTGAATAATTTTTATTAGAAGCAATTATTAATTTTTATATTAGTATACCAATCTTTTTGTATTAATCCATATTTATTTATATATGATAAAAAATAATTTTATTTTTATTTAAAATATATAATAATATTTAAAATATAAATATTATAAATAAATAAAATTTAGCTATATAGTTAAAAATATAAATAAATAATATATATAATTTAAAAAATAAATATAATATTATTTTATTTAACTTAAGCTTTATTATATTAAACTAATATATTTTTTGATAATTTTTTCTTTTTTTTTAAAATAAATAAATATATAATAAAATAATATATCTTTTATAAATAAAATATATTTATAAATTTACTTATTTATTCTGTATTATTAAAATTATTATAATAATATTTTTATTAAAAAAGATCTCAAATTTATATTTATCTTCAAAAGAATTTTTTTTCTATTATATTATAAATCACAAAAATATTTCTCAATTATTTATCATAAAAATAAAGTAAAAAAAAAATACTTATAATATTTTAAAAAATTTATTAAAATCAAATTATTTTAAAATTTTTATTAATCATAATAATTAACATAAGTATACTTTATATTATAATAATCTTTATAAATTAAACAAAGAAAATTATATCTTAAAGAATGTATCAAATTCAATATTTAAATTTCATGAAAAATATCATTATTAAATTAAATTAAAATTTTTAATTTTTAATTTGAATAAATATAAATATTACTAAAAATATGATAATAAATTTCTAAAAGAATATTATACAAAATTTATAATAAATTTTACAATAAAAATATAATAATTTAAAATTACTTTGAATTCTTTAATATTAGCAATATCATATATATTTATGATCATATGAATAAGAAATTATATTATAAAATTTAAATAATTCAATGATATAATATTAATAAAAATAATATTATCTTTTAACAAAATAATAATCTAAAATATATAATAAATCTATATATAATTAATTTGATAATAATAATATTTATTTGCTCAATTATCCTGTTCAATCACATAATCTTAATTCAATCAAGTATCTCTGAAACAAAATAAATCGTCATTTAAGAAGATTATTGATACTCAAGATCAACTCTGGAATGTAATACAGAAAATTTGAATTGAAATTGGATAATGCACTTTTAATGAAGTTAATTAAAAGTATAGAAGAATGCATTCAAGATGTAATTAATGCAAAGGGTGGATATATTAGGTGATAATTAATATTAAGGTTAAAATTCATGTGTTTAATTTTTTTTTAAATTTATGATATAAAAAATAAATATTGTCCGTATATAGACATTACCTATTTATATATTGATTGATGTTGTGTATGAAACGTTACTATATCGCGAATACTTTTGAGCACCACTGTACAAATGGCGAACCTATATTTAAATCACTTTGATTGAATATAAACTTGTGATCCTATTTCTGCCACCCAATTTAAGACACGTTTTACTTATTTTTCCAGTCATTGATAATGTAGATGTGATAAAGTCTCGAAGTTACTCAGCAGTTGGATATTACCGTTACATATATATCGGACGATATGTCAATTGATCCTACTAATCTGCGCAGATTGTCTGCGCTGCGCAGAACCAATTTAAACACTGGTAATACATGTAACCATAAACAATATGACACACGCCTACATACAACAAATAAAAGTGGCATCACTACCGCTATACATCTCACTGTCCAAGCAATTCGCATTTTAACCAAAAGATGGAATTGAATACTCATGATTGTAGTAAATGTTGGCGGTATTGTCAAGAGAACAGATATTGCGATGAGTGTTTAGTTCACAATACTCATGATTGTAATAAATGTTACTATTGTCAAGAGAATAAATTCTGCCATTCCTGTTTCAAATATCACAAACGAGTTTATAACGATGAATTGTCTAGCGGAGATAAAGATATCGATGATCTAGTAAAAGAATGCTACAAATCTGATACAAGACTTAAATTATTCGAATGGATTCCTTTTGAAAGATTTACCAATGTTGAATATCTTGCGAAAGGAGGTTTTGGGACAATTTATAAAGCAACCTGGTTGGATGGACCATTGAGTTTCGATGCAATATGGAATCATGAGGAAAATAAATTTATACGATATGGAGAAAGAAAAGTTGTGTTGAAATTATTACACAATTCAAAGCGAATTACTCAAGAGTTTATAGACGAGGTACAAATAAACATTTTCTAAAGTTAAAAGTTACTTTTTATTTCTAATACAATCGAGTTTTTCAAAATAGATTCAAACCGCTCTTAAATGCAGTAAAGGTCATATTAAGTATTACGGAATAACTAAAAACCCATTTACGAATGAATATTTGATAGTGATAACTTATGCTGAAGATGGTGATCTCCGTCAGTATATTAATTCCAACTACGAAAAATTAACTTGGAATCAAAAATTAATGCATTTATATTCTATTATCAAAAACCTGAGAAACATCCACGAAGGGAAGTTGGTACATCGTGACCTTCATCCTGGAAACATATTATTAATGCGTGACATTCCTCAAATTACTGATTCTGGGCTTAGCATTCCAACAAAGGAAGAAAAGTCAAACCAAGAAATTTATGGCGTACTTCCATATATGAGCCCAGAAGTACTAAATGGAAAGTCATACACTGACGTTGCAGATATTTATAGCTTTGGAATGGTTATGTACGAGGTTATAACTGGTGAACAACCATTTGGTGATCGAAGTCATGATACGGGGCTCGTAGTAGACATTTATAATGGAGTACGCCCTATGATACCAAATAATGTTCCTGGATGGTGCAAATTCATTATTGAAAAATGTTGGGATCCTATTCCAGAAAACAGACCAACTGCTAAGGAACTTGAAAACTTTATTGAAACTATCAGAAATGGATACATTTTTGGGCTGGATGCTTTGCATTTTCAGTACTACAGTTCATTAGAAGATCCTAAAACAGAAGAGGAAATTAAAGAGTGTGTTAAATTAGAGAGGCAGAAATTGAAAGAACTTGGCAAGAAGATGAAATTACAAAACAGCATTATGAACAAACAAATTCACAAAAATGCAATTTACACCAGTCGGATCTTTACTTCAAAATTAATTTCAATTCCAACTCCTATTGGTACGGTAATTTCTATTTCTAAATATCAATTATATTAACATCTCATATTAATTAAGAATTTTATCGAATGTTTAGGGTTTACAAGTGTCCGTTTGTTTGTTCCATACGAAGGTAAAATAATTTTAATATTACTATTTATATTAATGTGAGTTTTTCATTGATTGCTTTAATTAAGCATTTCTTTTTGATGATGCAAAATAGATTTGGAGAATGAGGATGTGTTGAATGACTTGCAAGGAAAACTATAGATAACCGACTCGAACCAAAAGTGATTCAATCTCAATCTCTTTTGTAATTACGTATATTTATTATTTTAATATCTTTTATATTATTTCATAAATGAATGATTCATTGGAAAATCATCACCGTCATTGTTATCATTTCATTTAAAACGTTCAATCATTTTCTCCAGATTTTTCATTTGTAGACAAATATATTTTATACTAGGCACATGTCAATTATTCCCCGTCGTTATACATGTACTCTCATAAGTATCGCCCAATGTTACGAGGAGTTTTAATAACCACATTGAATTCACGCTCAACAAACATGATAGTTATAGTTTTATTAGTACTTATATAAAAGATTTAGAAATTATAGCTATTAATTTTACTATTTCATGCTGAATAAATATTTCTATATAATTTGAATTTTAGTCTCGTGACAATAAGGATGCACGAATTTTTTTGATCAACCCGGCAAAACAAATCCGACGAAAAATACAAAATGTCATTACACATTGAAGTTAAAATTATATCGTATATTGATCTTACGATTTGATTGGTTTACCCTTAAATTCACGTGATCCTGACATATTTTTTGCCATGGCTAGGGCAACAAAAACGAACATCTTTTGTTAAGCATGCAAGATCAAGATAATGAATTACTAAAACTTGGTGGTAAACGCGCATGGGATGACCCAGACGACAAAGGTGCTTATATATCACTAAAGAAGCAAGCAAACTTAAAAAAACTAAGAAAATCAGAAGAAGAAGATGTTATATCTGGGGATAAATATGAAATACGATTAAGACAACAGTAAAGTGATGTTCATTAGTTGAATAATTCTATTCTAGGCTTATATACTTAACAATAAAGCTTGTTAATACTTTGACATTAGACATGAGAAACTTCATCCCGCTCCAAGTTGGGCAACCTTGCCTTCAGAACTAAAGAAACAACGGAAACAAAAACAAACAGCAGCAGCTGCTGCTGCTACTGCTGCTAATGACGATGATGATGACGATGATGATGATGATGACGATGATGATGATGATGAAGATGATGAGGAAGAGGAATATTCAGACAAGGATATCGCATTGTTGAAGCAATCACACGGATTCTTGGAAAAGAAGAGATCAAAAATTTTGCCCCCCGAAGAAATTGAAATTACTCGTGTGAGAGATGCTAATCAACAGGCTTATTCTCAAGTTTGGTATTTTCCATGCTTAAATATTATATTATTAGCTGATGATTTAATTAAATACCTAATGATCTTATTTTCTTTCTCCCATATTATCAGTGTGTTGTTCAGTCAGTTAACTTTCATCCTAATGCGCAAATATTAATGACTGCTGGCTTCGATATGACTCTTCGACTATTTCAGGTGAATATTATAAATTTAAGAATTACATTATGATCAACTTTTTAAGGTTCTTATTTTATATTATTAATATTAATTAAAAATTCAAGATTGACGGTAAATTGAATCAAAAAATTCAATCAGTATATTTTAAAGATATGCCGATTTTTCATGCGGAATTCAATTCAACCGGCAGAGAGATTATAGCTTCCGGTCGACAACCATTTTTTTACATTTATGATATCGAAGCTGGTCGGGTTGAAAAATCAAACCAAATCCAAGGACGACGACAAGACAAGACTTATGAGCATTTTCGAATTTCTCCTTGTGGTCGGTATATCATTTTCGTTGGGCGTGATGGATTCCTTAATTTGGTCAGTTATCAGACAAAACAATGGATCGCCAATATGAAAATGAATAATTGGGTTAATGGGGTTGATTGGTCTGGCGATGGCAAATATTTGTATTCAGTTGATATGGATGCGATGGTCTATCAGTGGGATGTGGGTACGAGGAGATGTGTTCATCGGTTTAAAGATCATGGTGGATTCAAACCAAGCTCGGTTGCTGTTTCGAAGAATGATAAATATCTCAGTATTGGGTAAGTATATAATCTAAACACAATCATACGTTCTTTATCAACTATTCAATTAATTCTCTTTTTTTTCTTAGTTCACGTTCGGGAATTGTAAATGTTTACGATAAATCACGTTTAACTTCAAATAATCCATCACCTCTTAAAGCGATTTCAAACTTGACTACTACAGTCCATCATACAAAATTTAATCATGATTCACAGATTTTGGGGATTTCAAGTCGTTCCAAAAAGGAACAATTGAAATTGGTAAAAAAAAAACTTTACTCTCTTTTTTAATTTATAGTCAACTTCAATTTCATATTTACATAATTTTCATGCTGAGAAATACGTTTTATTATGTCAAGGTCCATCTCCCATCTTTAACTGTCTTCAAGAATTGGCCAACTGGCGCAACACCGTTGGGTTACGTTGAATCCTTCGATTTTTCACCCAATAGTGGGTACATTGCAATAGGTAACGCGAAGGGTAAAGTGCTCTTGTATCGATTGAGACATTTTGCATCTGCATAAAATTTTGTGTTTGTTCATTTTTGATCATCCCATAATAAATGAATTATCAAATAAAAATATATAATAACGATGATTAATTAACATCGTTATTTATCATAAGAAATTATGATAATTTTGGCTAAATGATCATTTTAATCTGCGACGCTTAATATAACAGATACAATTGAAATTTCAGTTTTGCATTACTTGTGTTAATAGTATCATTCGACTAAAAATGGAGGAAGAAATTATAGATTTCGATTTACTCGTAACTTTAGAAAAGCTCAGTTCGACAGCACCACATAAGAAACGAAACTTGCTTAGCAGCAATGACAATAATTCAACAGATAGCAGCAATGAATTAATAAATCAAGTGGAAATGAATATAGAAGACATTAGTTCTCTTTACTCGTCCTCGCCGGTTTCTCTATCTTCGCAATACATAAAAAGAAAACACAAAGTTATAACAACTTCAACATCGCCAATAAAGACGCCGTCAAAACCAAAAAAGCAAACATATAGTTTGGAGGTTGCAGATTATTACCTCGAAGGAGGTATACTTTTTAGACCATTTCCGTAGATGTAAGAAAATATATTTATTGGGGGTAAACTTTGACTGTCGGCTATCTTAAAGGATTACGCAAGGTTAAACCTTACTATTTTGAGTTCCAAGCTTACGCAAAAGGTCGATGGATTGGAAAAAGTATTTCGGATGTTTTTTGTACAGAATTTCGTGATCAGTCTCCCGAATATTATGTATGTATTGCCATTATACTTCGGATCACACCACGTCGCGTCACATTAATCGAATTAATTCGTAAAATCAGAAATCAGCAATTCGCAAAGGTCTGATTACAATAAACGGAAACCATGTCTCCGCGGAAACTATTATTCGAAATCAAGATATAATAGGACACAAGATTCATCGACATGAACCACCTGTTACTGGACAACCGATTGCTATTTTGAAAGTTGATAACGATGGTGTTCTTGTTATCGATAAGCCAGCCAGTATACCAGTATGTGTTCATTTTTTGCTTTCTTTATGTTTCTTTATTTGTTATTTGAATGTGATACTTTATATTTTTTGTGTAGGTTCATCCCACTGGGAGGTGTGTAATCAAAATATTGCTTCCTTAATCCATTTTAAATTTGATTAATCGTTTGGTTCTTAGATATCGACACAACACGATTCTTCATATTCTACGAATAGAGCATGGGTTTACGAATCTATTTCGTGAGTCTTGAATCCAAATATGTTATAAAAATGTATTTATATTTATATATCCTGTTTACTATTGAATTCTAGCCGTAAACAGACTTGACCGTCTCACATCCGGCGTCATGATTCTCGCACTCAGCAAATCAAAAGCACAAGAATTAGAAAAACAAATGCGAGATAAAACTATCAGAAAAGAGTATATTTGCCGTGTGGTTGGGAAATTTCCGGAGTAAGCAATATAATATTGATTATTACTGATTTTTCTCTATACATCATTAACGGCTGTGTGATTTATAGCGGGGAAATAATATGTGATAAGCCAATACGTGTCATTTCCCAGAAACTCGGATTAAATATGGTTCACCCGGATGGTAAATCGTGTACGACCGTCTTTGAACGAATTAGTTATAATGGAAGAACGAGCGTGGTGAGATGTGAGTGCAAAATATAGGAAATAATTAAATATCTTTTCATACTTAAAATCTAATTAGTACATTTATAGGTAAACCATTGACAGGTCGTACACATCAAATCCGAGTACATTTGCAATATCTCGGTCACCCAATTGCAAATGATCCATTATACGCAAGTACTAAAATCTGGGGAGAAAATTTAGGCAAAGAAGGTGTTATACAGGATTCGGAACTCACTAAAGAAATAATGGAGAAATTGGCTATGGAAGGTCAAAATGAGACGCTCGATCATGAAGAAGCTGGGCAAATAATAGTGATGTTTAAAGAAGAAAACAATAGAAATAATGAGATAATTGATATTGTTAATGCCAATAGTAGTGTGATATCAAGAACAAATAACCATGATTCTACTTCTAGTCATAACCAGCAAAAGGAAACAAAAAAGTCATCGTCATTTTATGAATGTGGATGTACGAAATATCCGGATCCATTACCACCTCAATTATTGATATGGTTACATGCACTTAAATATCAAGGAATTGATTGGGAATATGAATCAAATTGGCCTGCTTGGGCAAATAAAGATTTTTCGGAGGATGAAGCTTACTTCTAATCCGCATAAATTATAAATATGAAAAGGAATTTATAAGATTCGAATATAGAAACAGATTAACTCTCCCCCACATTATGTCTGGATGTCTACTATTTTTCATTGTGAGCTAGAGCGAATCCTCCTCTGCACGAATACATAAAAATATAAAAGATCGAGAAAAATTAGATTATAATAGTTAACTCGTTGTATTATCAAATTATGTGTGAATTCCTTTATTAGTAAATTATCATAATCGATCTTGTATGACAAAGTAAATATGTAGAAATCTACATGTTGTCAAAGGTTATTAAGGGGTCATTTTGCAAGGCGATTTGCGATATATGCGACCTGCAAGAAGGAAAGTCTAGGTATAATGTGTTTTCATCAATCGAACGATTATATATTGATCAAGATGCCGAAATTGCACACTGTCGATCGATTCCAAAATGTGTGCCATAGTAATGTATTAAAAATATTATTTAAAGAGGACTTAAAGAAGCAACTCAATTTGTCATCATTGAAATTGAAAATTTCAAGAAACAAGATTTGAAATCTGTTTCCGAGAAAATTTCCGAAATGGAATCTATCGGTAGCAAATGTGTAAACACAGATGTATTAGATTTAATAATGTCGGATCTCGACAAGAATCTAAAAGAACTTTATCGTTATGTTCTTGATAAGCGTGTCGAATGGGAAGATCAACATTCCGATGCTAATGATTGGATTAATTCAAAAACAACCCGAGTTCTTGTTAATCAAGCTCGATGGAAGAATAATGAAAATAAAAAGGAAAATGATGATGATAAAAATGACAGTGTGACAATCTTGGAACGATTTAATCAACTGGAAAGTATCCGTGTCGAGTTTAAAGGCGTTGCAGCACAAGAAGGTATTCGAGAGCTCGATGGAATTATAGCGTTAGGTTCTCAATTAGACGCTGCTTGGGAATACCTTGATAAAGCGACCAATGTTGTGAAAGGATTTGTCGATAAAATTGAACAATGGTATAATTGTCATGCAATTATTTATCAAGTTGAAAATGAAATATTAGAAGGATTATCCGACAGAATCAATAAATTAGCTAGCATCAATCATGAAAAGCTTGCAACGGAAGTTAATGAATTGGATAGTCTTATTAAGCATGCTAACTTCGTACTCGATGAAATTAAAAACGTATCCACTAAAATCTCTGATAAACCAGAAGACATAGCCGATCAAACCAACCGCCACAATTTTGATAAACATCATTCCGACGCACTAAAACGACTAAATACTTTTTCAGCCTCTTTCCAGGTTGCTCTTAAGGCTGCTCTTAATGCTTCAGATTTGGAAACTTTTCATACTGAAGCTAATCGTATTATTGCTTCTTGCCAAGAATCAGACATTATACGATCACGTCATGAAGATTTACAAAACAAAGCACGAGAAAGTCAAGAGGTCACACGTGCTATCAAGGATATTTTAATGGCAATCGGACAGGTTAAAGATCGAGTACTA